GAGAGGAGAGGAGAGGAGAGGGCAGTGAAACCCCTGGATGAAGTGAATAATAAGGGCCCAGGGGAAAAGAACAGATGGACATTTAGAGAAAGGGAGAGAGAAGAGAAAGAACGAGAGGGAAGATTGTCAGACATGATGCCAAGACTCTGTAGGGGAGACACACATATTCAGTGCTCATTAAAGCCGAATGTTTCCGGAAGGTTAAAATGACATCATATTATTTACTACTTTCATCAGAATTTGAAAATACTCTGTCACTAATATACTAGATGCTAGATGAACACACAAAGACAAAAGGATTGGGAAATGACTGTATTTGGCAGCTGTGGAGGTGGGTAATATTCCATCAGCACAGGTAATTCTGTTCCGAGATCAGACCTGAGCTGATTATTTCCTGAGATCAGACCTGAGCTGATTCTGTCCTGAGATCAGACCTGAGCTGATTCTGTCCTGAGATCAGACCTGAGCTGATTCTGTCCTGAGATCAGACCTGAGCTGATTCTGTCCTGAGACCAGACCTGAGCTGATTCTGTTCTGAGATCAGACCTGAGCTGATTCTGTCCTCAGGTCAGACCTTATTCTGTCCTGAGATCAGACCTTATTCTGTTCTGAGATCAGACCTGAGCTGATTCTGTTCTGAGATCAGGCCTGAGCTGATTCTGTCCTGAGATCAGACCTGAGCTGATTCTGTCCTGAGACCAGACCTGAGCTCATTCTGTTCTGAGATCAGACCTGAGCTGATTCTGTCCTGAGATCAGACCTGAGCTGATTCTGTCCTGAGACCAGACCTGAGCTGATTCTATCCTGGGATCAGACTTTATTCTGTCCTGAGACCAGACCTGAGCTCATTCGGTCCTGAGACCAGACCTGGTCTGATTCTGTCCTGAGATCAGACCTGAGCTGATTCTCTTCTGATATCAGACCTGAGCTGATTCTGTCCTGAGATCAGACCTGAGCTGATTATGTCCTGAGACCAGACCTGAGCTGAATCTGTCCGAAGATGAGACCTGAGCTGATTATGTCCTGAGACCAGACCTGAGCTGATTCTGTTTTGATATCAGACCTGAGCTGATTCTGTCCTGAGATCAGACCTGAGCTGATTCTGTCCTGAGATCAGACCTGAGCTGATTCTGTTATAGATAAGGCAGTGATTACATATATTTTATCAGTTCCTGCATGCTCTGGGAATTGAATCCTCAATGTTGGTTTAGCTAGCACAATTCTCTACAGTTTGAGCTATAGGAATTAGATGACTCTGCTGTGATCTGATATCAAATCTGAGGTGGTTCCTCTTCTGGTATCAGCCCTGGGGTGTTTCTGATAGCGTGTTTCCAGTGGGTGGATTGTGTGAGGCATGATCACATTATTGCAGTATAAATTTGATTCCAACCTAAAATTTCAGAAATATCTGTTTGTCCAAATTGAGGGAGACAGTGACTGTAAATTACTACCTTGATGTGAGAAATTGCACAGGATTAGATTAGACACTTTAATAAGAAAATAATATGTGTATTTAACCTGCATATAGTGAAGCTGCTCTTAGAAAATATCCTGCAGTTCAGTTTTCACAACAAAGAGAGAGAGAGAGAGAAAGAGAGAGAAGGAGGGAGGGTTTGGTCTCCAGGGTCTAGGCCTCTTCCTTTTGTCTTTATTTTTAGAAGCTGTAGAAACTTGTGGAAATGTGAACTGAAGCTGTTTTCTGTAACCTGCTCTCTGCACAGCCCATGCCTCAGCTGTTTTAATGGAATGAATGAGTTTCTCCTCATTTTCATTTATTGTCTCTGGCAATTAATAAATCCCGGTCAGACTGATTCGAGGAAACACTGGCCTCACAAGGATATATATATATATATATATATATGATTAATTTATTATATGTGGTTCATTCTAATTCTAATTGTTTAATAATAGTTTTTAGAAAGATAACCAGTAGATGTTTTTTCCCGCTATTTTGTTTTGACATAAAAAAGGAAAAGTTGTCCTTACCTTCACATGTTTTGATCTGTTAATGATTTATTGAGTGTCAATCAAGAGGACAAACAGTCATATGTTACTTTTTTGTGACACCATCCAATTATGAACCAGAAATTAGCCACCCAGTAACACTTTGAGAAAAACCTCAGTGTGTTTGTGGATGTCTGGTCACTCTATCAGAACCACATTGAAAATCACTGCAGGTCTGTGCTGATCCACCCATTTTAGTGTGCTGTACTTACACTCTGTGTGCTGGGTTTTACATTATAGCAGTGCTAATGTGCTCTAGATTGCATTAGTGCTCCAATTTTAGCTCTACTAACATGCCTTGGAGAAACAATAGATCTCATTACTAATGCTGACATATGAGAAAATATTACACTGGTTCATCTTTAGACACGCGTGATGCTGTTCTGTGTTGATACGCCATGCTAATGTGTGTTAAGCTGCTCTGAGGTCTGTGCTGTAGCAATTTAATTACATTTCACTCACTTTATGATGCTTCAGAGTCCCGTACTAACACTGAGGAGAGAGGAGAAGAGCACCAGCTGTGGCTGCTGAAGGAAGTTCAGCCTTAATGTGTCTTAACTTAATTCAGCCCTAACTGTAAATGTTAATTTGCTATGATAGATAGCTAGACAGATAGATGGATGGCATGATTTGTTATTAAATCCTCAGTAAATGCATGCAATCTTTCTCTAATTGCCATGCTTTCAAAAAGCCTTCAGTGATATAATCCTATTTCGCTCTGAATGTGTGACTGCTGCTTTTTTTTTGTTCTGATTTTCTATTGAACGTCATTTATTGAGAGTGGCTTTAATGATCCAAAGCTCTGGGCGGCTTTTAAAAGATCTGAAGAGAAATGCCGTCTCTTTTTGCCGCCGGTAATTGGAAACTCTGCAGTGAAGTTTGTGAGAGAGAGAGATCTGCTCAGAATATTGTGTTATGTGATTTAACTATATGTTGGGGACTGTTCTGTGGATTCATATGACTAACATGGGCGTGAGAATTAAAGGATTGTATGGAGTGGCTGTGAACACTGAAAATAATTATTCCAAAGACGTGTGTCTTTTCTTGCTTTTTCCCAATTTTTTTGCTCTTCTGGTGTCTCGTCCATTATGTCTGGATGTGCTTTTCTTTACCTGTGCTAATTTACACACTTACACATTAGTTTGAATGACTGGGAGAAAATAATGCTCTTGCCAGAGACTGGATTTATAGTTAACCTATAAAATTATAATTCTGACATTATTTGCTCACCCTCGTCTCATTCCAAACAAATATGCCTTTTTTTCTTCCATGAAACACTAAAGGAGGATTTAAATAATGCAGTAGTTGCTGTTTTCCATGTAATTACAGTGAATGAGGACATATTACTCAAATCTTCTTGACCTTGATGAAAACTTAAATGTCAGTCTGTTACTCGCACAAAACTACTGTTTGACATGGA